GGGAGTGCGCTCCCTCCTGGCACAGCCCGCAGAAGAGCGGGGGTGCCAAGTGTCCCCGGCAAGGGGAGCGCGGGTAGCAGGAGCGAGTGGGAGCGTGTTTGTGTGTGTTGTGAGGGCGCTCGCACAGTGCCTGGCGATTTGAGGATCTCCGGCGTGGTTTTGACGACGGAATTGATTGAAAACTTTTTAAACCCGCCCTGACGTTATTTTGACCCGGCGAGCAAAAGAACGTACTTGGGGTGCCTAGCAGGGCAGGGGCTGCCCGTTGCACCATGCCCTGTGGGACTGCACCCCTGCCGCTGGAGAGCGGGCTCTCCTGGAGCCCAGATTCAATCTGTGGGAGCCAGAGTCGATCCACGGGAGCCGGGAGCCATAGGAAGCAGTTGAAGAAAAAAATGGTGCCAGAAGGACGCGAGCGGTTTGTGCCTGCCCCTTCCAGCGGAGCCTTTCACCAAGGGAGGGCAGGAGCCTCCAGAAGGATGCGGGTCCAGCTGCAGGCCTGGCCCGGGGAAGGTGAGTGACCTTAAGCTTCTCTGAATGGTTGTTCGGGATTTCACGGTCATCGGGAAGCAGGATTTGCTGCTCAATTTGGTGTTCGATCAAGCACTTAGGAAATTCTTTTGTCCTAAATTGATAATAGCCACATGTCACAGGAGTGCTATGGCTAAGAAAGGGGGGGGGGAAAAAGCACAGCAATAGAAAACCTACTCCAAACCTATATTCCTTTCCTTTTTATTTTACAGGTACGTTATGGATTAAGTGCTGGCAGCCTGTCAGGAAACAAGTGAAAAGTTTTCTGTAATGCTTCCTCCCAGGTTTGGAGGAGAAGCCACTGTAATCTGAAGGTATCTGGAACCAGCTAAAAGAACATTAAGGGAATACTGGCAAAATGGAATATTGGTACCAGGATGTGTTTGTAACATAAAATGTGAACAGTTACTGTAAGAAATCGTCCCTTACCATTATTCTGAGCCTAAATTCGGCAGCATTTGGTTATTGAGCTAGAAGCTTGCAGGAACTCTTATAAAAGTGCTTAAATTCTGTTATCCAAAGTAGTGAAACAGTTTCCTCAAAAATCTACTGGATTTAGGCTCATGACCACTTGGGGAGATCTTAAAGGATCTTACACCTTTCCTTATACCCCAGAAATGCATACAAATACTGCCGAGTTCCAACACTTCCAGAACATGGGGCTGTATGGGTGGGCGAACACTGGCGTAGTGTAATGGTAAGCGACCTTAAGTTGATCAAAAAAGGGGCAAGTTTCAGATTGAAATGAATGACATAGCCCTGACTGGACTTTTAAAACTCCATTGCCCTTGTCCAGATCAGGATATGTACTTGAGATTACAGGAATTAATATGCAACCTGTGAACGTGTTTTCTAAAATATGAACAGGTATAGTTCTACTAGTCTGTCTTTTTTTTTTTCTTAGTATAGATAAGGTTTGTGGGAGTATTCCTTGCATAAAGTATAAAAAGCAGGCTTGTTTGAATCGTCAAGATAAAAGGACTTCAAATCTTCCTGTTTTGCAAAGAAGCAATGCTAAAAGGAATAAGAAGCATAATAAAGATGTGCTTCTCTATTTTGACTCGTAAAGCTATTCACTTAAGAAATTTTTTTTTTTGTGGTAGTAGTAGTAGTGAACACGGGGATTTTTTCCTTTACGTAAACAAACGCTGCTTTCCCAAAGCAATGCATGGAAACTTCAAGATAAGAAAAGCTCAGATTTTGGCTATGGATTTTATTTTTTCTAGTGTTTTTTAAACTAGTGACTTCTGTCAAAAATGAAGTCAGAACTTTTCTAGGTGAGCGTAAGAAACAGCTCTTATCAGACTACACGGGATGAGACACCAAAAACTGGAAACTGATGGAGTGGTTGAAAGCATAGTTATCAGATGGATGTTTTAGTAGAGAACTGAGCCTTTGCTTTTTTCCTTTCTTTTCTAGGTCAACAATGACGGAAGACATTCACCCCTACCTCTAAATAAGGCTTAAATCAGGAAGAAATACAGTTTCTTTTCTTTGTTTTACTTTGTTTTTATGGTGTGCCCTCATGTGTGTTTCTGTGAGGCTTAAAGAGTGTGTGTCTTGACAGAATGGGATGATGGTCATTTTCTTACAGTTCTGAAGGCCTAATTGTAGGTATCTAGTCTTCATCAGAGCCCAGCATGGGTATGAGTCCAGCATCAGGTCCCTTCCTGTAAATTCCAAGCTTATCTTTCCTTCTTCCACTAATACATGGATTTAGGATATTGGATCACAGGAGTATACAGAGACATGCCTCTACTGCTACTGCTCTTGCATTCTTAAAACCCATATGTTTTAATCACTGTAATTGATCTCATTTACTTATATATAGCTTTTTGGTGGTTTCTGCTATAATGAACTATCTCAGATAGACTAACAAAAACAACCTCCTCCTTCAATTTTAATAGTAATATCACATGAAATTTGGGAGAATGATTAGTATGTAAGCTGGCAAAGAACTATTCTGTATTGTCTAGTATTCAAACCTGATTAATACATTTTCCTGTTCGCAATGGACTACTAGGGGTTTTATGGGTTGCATAGCTGATGATATGTTAACTAACAGGGAAGAACAAAATCCATGGCAGAGTTGATATTGTAAATCTTAATTTTGGTACCCAGTGCTTCTCATTTTGATACTGTACCTAATGTTCCTAATGTTAGTCGGTTACAGGATTATAGCTTATAGAAAACTGTATCTACCTACGTAGAAAACCAAAATGAAATTATTGCTTTTTAATTAACAGCGTCATGTACTTCAAAGTGTGTGTTTTTACCTCTGTGCTGATCTAACTGAGGTACAAACTGCGAAAGCCCCTAGCTACAGCATGTCAGCTCCTCAGTTCACACAACAGCATCTTGCTCCCTTCCCTCTCATGGTGTAGACAAAGATCATGACAGTCTTTAGGCTGCTGGTACATAAAAATCCCATGGCTGGGCTACAGTAGATTTCTGTTTTCGTAGCGAGGGAAAACACAGCAAGATTTTTTCCCCATCCATGCCCCCACCCCCAATCTTCTGGGCTGTGTAAATTGTTAGTCTGACATATGACTGCAATTAGTAAGTACCTGGTAGTGAGGGAAACGCAGATCTCAAAGTGATAAGGGTTCAGTTAACTAGATATGTCTATTATCTTCATATGCACAGCCTGCCAAGGAATTCAGTCAAGTGCAGTACATTAGAAATGACAGGTATTAAAACTTCTTGTGGTGTTTTGCACTTCTAGAGGCTGGAAAAATGTTGCAGGGTGCATGGAACAAGGAATACTGTGTGAGCAGAGATTATTGGTGATGCTCATTGCTGTGATTCCTCCAAGGATATCCAGCCTTCCAGCTGCTGTTTTATTCTGATGGTCTTGCTAGTTGTCACATGCTGGGTATTACTTGATTAGTGCCCAGTAATTAGCTAACACACTTGTAGAACTTTCATGAAAGGATTAGGGGACTCAAACAGCAAAGCAAATCAACTTATTTTAGCATAACACCAAAAATATAGTACTTTTAACAATGAAAATATGCTTCTAAGCATAAGTATGGTGATTCTGCTTGGTTTTTCAGACTTTTGTTTTTAAGGCAAATGTATAAGGTTAAGCATGGAGAGGATGTGAGTAGGTAAGACTAAGTCCTAAAAGAGACTTCTTTATTTCTTGGAATACTTGAGAATTGGATTAAATCACTTCAGTGCCTTGTCACAGCTTTTGTTATCTTGAGAAGGGAAGAATGAAGTAGTATTTACTGATGGCTTTTTTTTTTTTTTTACTCTGGTCTATATAGACTTATTAGCATCTTTGAGTCACATCTTTGTGCTGACAAAACGTTTTTCAGGAAGACGTGATTACGTAGTCTAACATAACTTCAGTACAGCATTAATGAGGATTACATATACTTAAGAGTAAAACTACATGCATAGTCTATGAACATATGTGTTTGATTTATGCAGCCAGAATGAACAGATGCTCCCCTGTGCACCTCTGGCTGTAGCTGCTCTGCTTTTCAGTGAGATTAGCAGGAGGTATGATCTCTCCCATCTGCTGATGAGGAACAGCATGTGCTCCAAATAATTTCAAATACAAGCAGCTTATGTTGAGGTCAGTAAACACCCTAGAGTAGGAGTGG